GTATAGCAGGGATTGTGGGGCTGGCGCGGGATCGGGCAGTGTTTCGTTCTGCTGTGCATGGGGTCGCTATGAGTTGGAAACCACTCGACAGCACTTAACAACAACAACAAAATATGTCAAAAAGCCTCCTGGTTACATACAATTGCCCTCATGACTGAGATAACAACTCAAAATATTAAAAAAGGAGGGTACAAAGTAGTAGATCTGGAATACATTCTTTTCAACTAGCCAGTCTACTGTTTTTAATCTAATTGTTATCGTAGGGCTTGTTAAATATATTATGCCCTGTGTTTCTCAATGCCATAGCCAATCCTCAAGGTATCTAGCCATGTGACAAATCATGTATTTAGAAGAAACTAATTTTGTTAAGGAGAATGAAATTTAGTTCTGGAATAAGACCTTTTGGAATGTTGAGCCGTTCTTCTAATAATGTGGCCCTATTTATAACCCCAACAAGAAGCAACTCACCGTGGACATGAGACTTGAAGCCATAGCAAGGTAACACCAGATGGTACACACCCATCTCTAATAACACAGCTAGTGTCTGGGGTTTTGAAAGCTCAAATAGAGCAGCCATCCCTAGCACTAAATTCTTGGAGGAAATTGTTAACTCCTTTATGAATAATTTTTGCCCCCTACTGGCAGCTTGATCAAAATGGGGAGAATGTATCAGCAAACCCCAAAACTCACTTGGCATGACAAAAATGGTCCAGATCTAAATTAAACTCCATTTTGAATCTAACTACAGCTTGTCCTAAAATCTCTGCTTCTGCTGCTCTGAAGAGTCAATCCTGCTTCTTTTAAAAGTTTAAATGCTTATAATCCAAAAGGAAAAAAGGTCAAGATTTTAGCTTATATGAGGAAATGTTTGTTAAAATGTTTGTCAAGACTGTTTGCCATGATCCAAGAAGACCTTCATCAACATATCCCAGGTTAGAAAATAGAAATGATGTTAAGAAGGATGTGGTTTAACTACCCCCTTGTGCCTGTGAGCGCACTGTGCTTTGTTTACTCCACTCAACGAAAACTTCACTCTTTACTCGCAATTTGGAACACTATAGTATCCTGCCCAGGTGCTAGTTTGTCTCTTGTTTGGTGAATCTCTCTACCTTTAATAAAACTATTTGCTTTCACTTCCGACCAACTGAAGACTAGTGCCCTGCTACAAAAGTAGTATTGACTGCTCAGCAACAGAAATCTTTCCCTTCTATTGGGAAAGATTTTTTCTCAATAATGACAGGAGAAAGGAATCAGAGGAGGAAAGCCCCAGCTCCTTTCCCTCACTTCCTGACTTTGAAGGGGCTGTGTGAAGAAAAGGAGGTTGGTAGTTGTGGCCACCATCTTACTACCATGAGGTGACAAAAAACAAAGCCAATAAGCTAGTGAATTTGGCATAATGATGGAAGTTTGATAAATTACTGATTTGCCAAACCAAACTTGGAAGTGCTTATCTCTAGGCTTCCCTATGAGTAAACAATTGCTGTTCTTAAGGTTTAAGCTACTATTACTTGGTTTTCTATTCTTTACATATGAAAACATCCTTTGTGTTATCATAAAATTTACTTTGATTCACTGTTTAGAAACACTATTCTGATACCCTATACTTATTACTTAACATGTGTCAGGTTTGTCATTCATTACATACATTACCTCATTTAATCCTCACAACAACCCTGTAAGGTAAGTAGTTATTCCCTTTTTACAGTTAAGTCTGAGGCTCAGAGCAGTTAAGTGACTTCTGCAAAACTAAAAAGCTAGTAAGTGGCACATCTGGATTTAGAACACAGATCTCTCTGACCCCAGAGTCTGTGCTTTTACCACTAAATGAAACATAACATATGAAGACAAAGTCTTCTGGTGGTTTTATATTATGGTGGTTTTTTTGAACCTGCAATTATTTCTGTTTTATAAGTGCACACAATGCTCTGGAGCCTAAGTATTCTTCTTTATCTGAAGATTCTTTCACAACTGTCAGAGAGAAGGATGCAGGGAAATTTTGCTATTCTTTTAACCTAACACTAATTACATAAATGGATTATATAATTTGTTGAGAAGTATTATGCCAGCTTATCTCAAAATTGATTTATGCTTGTTAGGATTTTACTAAATAAGAAACAGATTATAGAAGTGACTTGCCCACAGTAGGAGCTTAGCAAGGGTAATGAACACCTGCGGCAATCTCTACATTACACCCCACTCCCAATTCAAGCACTCAGAGGCAATTTCTAAATTGTGCAGCCCCACCAATTTCAAGATGAACAGATATTGATAGTGGCGATCCATCAGCAGAAATGCCTTTCCCTCCTCTTGTCCAGCTGCCTCAGTCAGGTGTCTTTCATATTTATGGCATCTTGGAATGTCATTCTGCACCTCATCTGGTGTCCCTTGGACTTGCACCTGGGGGCAAGTACCCCCATCTGCTACCTCTCACTATGTCTCTGGATATTTCCCATGCTTCAGGAAGGATGCTGGGCTGTACCAGGATAAAAGAAACTGCTCAGTGTCATCCCCCATCAAGTGATGCCCAAGGCATGTGTTATACCTGTCATACCTTAGAATGGCTCTGGCCCCAGTTCTACTGCTGCTAAGTGTCAGCATTAGGGTACAATCACGGGGCTTTAGACTCTATGTTCTGTGCACTTTCCATAATTATTGTTGACTGAAAATGAGCATGTGCTCATTGCATTTAAAAATACATTCGTCCTGAACATAAAGGTAATACATTTTCACTATAGGAAATCTACAAAATATAGAAAAGGATAAAGTAGGAAATAGAATTCACCTACAATTCTATCATCTAGAAATAATAACCTGAATATTGTGACTTGATTTATTTCCTTTGCATTTTTATGTATTTTTAAAACTGAATCATACTTCATTGTTTTCTTTTCTCTTCCATTTTATCCAAATCATTTCTCCATGGCATTAAATATTCTGTTAAAATATATATAACCAAAAAAAAAAAAACCTCACTGCCCTGGAGTCAGATCCAACTCACAGCGACCCCTCCTTGGGTTTCTGAGGTGGTATCACTACAGAAGTAGATTGCCCAATCTTCCTTCCTAGGAGTGGCTGGTGGGGTTGAACTGCCAGGCTTCTGGTTAGCAGTCAAATGCATTAGGCACTATGCCAACAGAACTCCTCAAAATATTTATAGTGGCTGCAAAATCAGACATATGGGATGGATCATCATTCATTTAAACTTTATACTTTTGAAAATTTAACTTTCTTCTTACAATTATTTGTGATGCTGGCATGAATATGGAGCCCCGGTAGTACAGTGGTTAAGCACTCAGTTGCTAACCCAAAAGCTGGCAGTTCAAACCCACCAGCCTCTCCACAAGAGAATGATGTGGAATTCTACGTCCATAAAGATTCACAGCCTTGGAAACCTTATGAGGCAGTTCTACTCTGTCCTATAAGGTTGCTATCAGTAAGAATTGACTTGATGGCAGTGGGTTTGGTTGGCATTCTGAATACTCTTTTGTTGATTTTTGTCTATTTGTAATTACTTTCCCTGTATGTAATCTTAGAAACAGAATTAAAGTTGATAATACTTATAAACTATTCTTTGGAAAGAAACGTAGCAATTAATCCTACTACCAACAATAAGGGAGTTGTGGTGGCATAGTGCCTAAGGGATTTGACTGCTAACCAGAAGGCTGGAGGTTCAAATCCACCAGCCACTCCTTGGAAGGAAGGTTGGGGAATCTACTTCCATAATGATATCACCTTGGAAACCCCACGAGGGGTTGCTATGAGTCAGATCTGACTTGAGGGCAGTGAGTTTTTTTGTTTTATCAACAATAAATGTTATTTATGAGGCTTCTTCCTCCTTGTTATGTTTTATCTGGTGTTGAATAAGCTGTGAGCTATAAAGATAGGCTTTCCCACACTCAGCACATTTATAGGGTTTCTCCTTTGTGTAGGTTCTCAAATGTAGAATAACTTGAGAAGACTGCCTGAAGGTTTTCCCACATTCATTACATTTATATGATTTCTCTCCAGTATGAACTCTACAATGATTAATAAGGTTTCGGTTAGAAGTAAAAGCTTTTCCACATTCATTACATTTGTAGGGTTTCTCTCTACGATGAAGTCTCTGATGTTCACTAAGGTCTTCTTCAAGATAAAAGGCTTTCCACACTCGTCACATTCATAAGTCTTCTCCCCAGTGTGAATTCTCTGATGGTCCATAATCTTCATATTAGAACCACATGTTTTCCCACACTGTTCACATTTGTAAACTTTTTTTCCTTTGTGTATTCTCTGTGATGTGAAATAAGACCTGAACTCCGACTAAAAGCTTTACCACACTCTTTACATTCGTAAGTTTTCTCCCCACTGTGAATTCCCTGGTGCCAAATGAGGTGTGACTTACCACTGAAAGATTTCCCACATTCGCTGCATATGTAGGGCTTCAGTCCAGTGTGGATTCTCTGATGAACCACAAGGTTGGAGCTATGACTGAATGCTTTGCCACACTCCTTACACTTATATGGCTTCTCTCCTGTGTGGATTCTCTCATGTACCATAAGATTTACACTCTACCTAAAGGCTTTCCCACACTCATTACATATATGTTTCTTTTGAGCCTGAATTGTCTCATTTGTTGCAGCGTCTGAGCATTGACTACTATCTTCTTCAAATTTCTGGTCATTCACTTCTGTGAATGTTTTATTGTCCTTAACTGTCTTTTGTTTGAAGTTTCTTGTCTTTCTCCTCATTTTCTCCTGCTTGGAGCATCCCAGTGGCCTCTTTAGTCTTCTCTCCCCTTTCAGAGGCTTTGTAAATTATGACTTCTGTGGCAACACCTATGTGGAATCTTCTTGGAAGTACAATGAGATTCTGATTCTTCAGGATTGATGCTTTGGAATCAAAACCTCTTCCATCCCAGTTTCACCATCTGACATGAGAAACAGAAATTATACATGTCACCTGTTCTCTGTACTAGAGGAAGGAGAATTATCCAAGGATAATTAGCTGTTGTAGATTACATGGTCTCACATGGAAGGTAAATGTTCAAAAGAAGAGGAAAGTGATCAAGGGAGGTGAGAGAAAGGAGGTTAAATATAGAAAGAAGGTCAAGATACAGGCTTATGGAAAGCTGGGAACTGAAAGGCGCCCAACAGTTCCCGCATCAGAATGATCAATGAATAATTAAAAATCCACTCTGGTTTTTTTTTTTTTTCTTTTCCCTCCCACTCATGCTCTACTTCCAGAACTGGAGCCAATGAACTCCTAATGGCAGGCTCAACTATAATCTGGTCCCTAGCAAAAGTTGAAAGTACCTTAGCTCAGTAGCTCAGATGACTAATCTTCAGACAATTTGTAATTTAGTGCTTGCTGACCTATTCCCTTAGCATTATATAGTTGTTGGCACAAAATAGGTGCTCAAGAATTGTTTCAGAGTATGACCAAGATTTCAGTTTGTACTCTAAGTCTAGGGTACTAAGTCCCTGTCTACATCCCTGTAATTAAGTCCTATCTTGATAAGGAGTAACTCAAAACTTCCAATATTGGAGCTTTATCACATTGGAGCTTACTCAATTAGGGCTGGTCTGAACCTGGATCCAGCCTTATGTGCCAGTCTGCTTTTCATCAAGCTATCACTCTGACAGACTGAGTGAATCTGAGAGGCTAAACCACAGAGGAGGGTTAGTTAAAGCATGGCAAGGAAGACTCTGACAGGACTTCAATATTAGTAAAGTACCTAAAGACAGAAAAAAGGATGACAGTTAGGGGACAACATAACTTGAGAGGTGCTGATATAAGAAACCAAATGTCAGGAGTGAGCAAGAATTTCCCAACTGGTTTGACACATAACTCTGAAATTTAGGTAACACTAGCAGTCCTCAAATCTAGAGGGGATTGGGTTGTAACAGAAACCTGAAAGATAACTGAGATACTAACATGTAACTAATTTTCCTTTTATCGTGTTCCTTTTTAGACTTGTCCATAAGCACAGTTATATAGTTACAAACATAATTCAGGTAATTTTGCATCCTACTTCCTCCACTTAATTTTTCCTAAGTATTTTTCCACATTGCTCTCTAATCATCACATTATCATTTTGTGGCTACATAATACACCACCAGTTAGATTCCTTATCATTTACCTACCACCCTGCTAATGTTAAGACATTTCTGTAGTTCCCCAACATTATTGATTACTACTACATTATTGATCAGCCACAATCAATAATGCTATCATAACCACTTTATAACACAATGTTTTCTTCTTGTTGAAATATATTCCTTAAATAAATGTTCCATCAGTGGGTTACTGGGTCAGAAAAAATGAAATTATTTTGTGCAGTACTGCCTACTCTTTTTCAAAAAAGTCTGGCCAGTTTCCATAGTTTCATAGTTCTCTGATAAACTGAGTCACACGCTGGAGGAGAGCCATATCCAATGGTGAGCACTCAAGACCAGTAAAAAAAAGAAGAGAGGTGACAAGGGCATAGAAGAGGCTGGAATTCACATCTCAGAAATACTAGTGCCACTGACTGTATACATACATGCACACATAGACTCATGCCTAAGATACGAAGGGTAGGCAAAGAGAATGGTGGAGGAAGTAGATTCTTGACAAGATACTGAGAGCACATCCACATCAGGTTGCTGCTACCTTTCCTAACTTAATAGGATAAAGCAGGTGGAAGAAAATCAGGGGGAAGCCAGGGGATTGCAAAACAGATAGGATAGCAAGTAAAGCCACCTCTAGAATTTCTCTCTGTGAGGAAGGTGATAGTCCTTTCTGATCTTCTTTGCCATTTCTAATTTTCATTGCAACTTTTTATTTTCTTCACATGTTTCTTAGACTAATACTTATTGAGAACTCTGCCCTGTAATATCACTGGGTCTAACATGAGGAAAATTTAAAGAACCATGTAATGTCATCTCTACATTTAAGGGGCAAAACCGTAAGAGCAAATTACAAAATATGCACTCAGGAGTTGAACCAGGTAGGGGAAGGAGAAATTATTGGGGCTTAGAATATGCTTTTTAAAAGAGATAAAACTTAGGCTAAGACCTAGAGGAAATGCAGAAATTGTTTTCTCAAAAGAAAGTTGGCATAGGATTGGTGTCCTCAAAAATAAGTGGGTGATAATTCTATAATGTAATCCTTCATAAGGGTTTTTGTCTATTTTGTTCACTGTTGTATTGCTAGGACTTAGAGTAGTGTCAGAGACTTAGTAAGCACTCAAATATTTATTTTCTCAAATGAACACATGATAGAATCAAATTGCATGAAGGGAGTCAGATTACAGAAGACTGGAAAATACAAGACAGAAAAGATATACATAATGTGATGGTCAATGAAAAATGAGTTTTAAACAGAAGAATGAAATCTACCCTTAATTATCTCCTCCCACTCTATTTTCTATCTTGCTAGTCTCTTCTATTGCTGCTTTCTCTATCTTTCTCACTCATCAAGAGTAAAGTTTTTCCAGCATTATCATTCATTTTTCCCAGTTTTGATACTGTTCCCAACCCCCAGCACATTGATGTTTTTGCTCAGCTTTGTGGAGGACAGAGGAGACAGGTAGCTGGGGCATCCCATGGGGAGTTCATTAAAGGAAATTTTTTAAAAAAAGGAAAAAATTCAAGAGATGTCACTCTAGGAATAGGGAGACAATATATCCTGATTTGCCCAGAAAAATCCTAATTTATACCTGCTCTGCCAGCACTATTATTATTAGTGTCTCCCTTAACTCAGAAAAGTATGCCAGCTTAGACAATAAATTTTGTATCACCCTACCCAAAAGTGACATTAGGAAAATAATGCTTTAGGAAGATTAGTCCAAATGGATTAGAGGAGAAAACAGAATAGAGGAAGGGTCATGAGTTGGGCAACAACTTCAGGAATTCAGTAAGGTGACAATTAGAGGTCCCTGACACTTTTAAAATGCCCAACAAGTGTTTGTTGCAAAGATGAAAAAATAAATGAGGTTGCAGGACCCTATTCTAGGAGAGTGACAGGAGAGAGAACAATGAAACTCAGCCATTTAAAGTTATTCACCAATACCGGATTGGACACAGGGTGATAGAAGGAAAGAAGCAAAAGTCATCAAATATCAAAAATAGTAGTGAAACTAAGAGAGATGGAGATGTGGTAAAATACATTAAAGAAAAAAGGGAATATGCCAGGAATGCAAATTTGAGAACATTGAGACAGAGGAAACAGAGGAAGTCACAGAAATATATAAGCTTACTGAGACAGGGAAGTAGGTAAGAAGGGGAAGGCACAAAGAGGCAAATGCCTAGGGACATGCTGTGAAGAATGCCTGGGGACCTGAAGATGGGACATAATATGTCAGGAGACAAGGGCCATTTGAGGAGAGTTTGCTAAAAAGGAAACCTGTTTTCTCTCTAATTGCATGTGAAATTTCTTAAGCAATTCTAGAATTCCCAGGTACTAGGAAGGTAGGTTCTTGGTGGAACAGAAGGAGGGAGGAAAGATGAGACCATGGGCCAGCAGCCCATGAGAGATATTTAGGCACAGTGCAGAAAAACACACTCTCAGATGGCTGCAGAATAGATGAGGAACAGTAAGGCCCACACTTCTTTTAGTCACAGACTGATAGGTAAGTCTTCTGATTCCAGGACCACTACCCACTTAACCTCCAAGGAACTGGAAATGAGCAGAGAGAGAAAGAGAGACAGAGACAGAGACAGAAAGAGGGAAAGAGAGAGAGAGGGACAGAGAGAGACTTTATCCTGACGTGCCTTGTTCTTTTAAGTTGCCAGTGTCACCTGCCTATTCGTATACCTCTAAACAATGGTCACAGTCTTTAGTTGTTGATTAAACCAAAAGCGAAATCACTGCCGTCAAGTCGGATCTGACTCATAGCGACCCCTCCTTGGGTTTCTGAAGCGGTATCACTACGGAAGTAGATTACCCAACCTTCCTTCCGACGAGTGGCTAGTGGTTCAAACCACCAGCCTGATTAGCTGCTACAGAATAAGGAATAAGAGACAATAGATGAAAACAAATTCTAGAGAGACAAATGAGTGAAATATAAAAATTGAAAAAAAAAAAAAAAAGTCAAAAGCTTGAAGGAAACATCAGAGGTTTAGACTTTGTGGACCATAGCAAATTATAGATAGCATTATGAAGAATGAGAATTACAGAACACTTAATTGTGCTCATGTAGAACCTGTACATGGATCAAGAGGCAGTCCTTTGAACATAACAAGGCGATAGATACTAAGTGGTTTAAAATTGGAAAAGGTATGTGGCAGTGTTATATTCTTTCACCTTACTTTTCAATCTGTATGCTAAACAAAAATCAGAAAAGCTGGACTGTTAAAAACCTGCAATATGCAGATGACACAACCTCACTTGTCCAAAAAGAAGACAAGTTGAAACACTTACTGGTGAAGGTCAAAGACAGCCTGAATGTGAAAAAAACAAAAATCTTCATAACTGGACCTATAAATAACATCATAATAAAAAGACCAAAATTGAAGCTGTCACTGATTTAATTCTACTTGGATCAATAATCAAT